CATCTCACATGCAAGGACACACATAGACTCAAAATAAAGGGATGGAGGAAGATTTACCAAGCAAATGGAGAGCAAAAAAAGCAGGAGTTACAATCTTAGTCTCTGAGAAAAATGGACTTTAAGCCAACAAAGATCAAGAGACAAAGAAGGGCATTACATAATGGTAAAAGGATCAATGCAACAAGATGAGCTAACGATCCTAAATATATATGCACCCAATACAGGAGCACCCAGACACATAAAGCAAGTTCTTTTTTTTTTTTTTTTTTAATAAAGATGGGGTTTCACCATGTTGTTCAGGCTGGTCTTGAACTCCCGACCTCAGGTAATCCACCCGCCTTGGCCTCCAAAGTGCTTGGATTACACGCGTGAGCCACCACGCCAGGCCGCAAGTTCTTAACTATCTACAAAAAGAGTTAGACTCCCACACAATAATAGTGGGAGACGTTAACACTCCGCTGTCGATATTAGATCAACAAGACACAAAATTAACATGAATATCCAGGACATGAACTCAGATCTGGACCAAGCGAACCTAATGGACATCTACAGAACTCTCCACCACAAATCCACAGAATATACATTCTTAGCAGCATAACATAGCACTTACTCTAAAATTGACCACATAATTGGAAGTAAATCACTCCTCAGCAAATGCAAAAGAACGGAAATTATAACAGTTTCTCGGACCACAGAGCAATCAAATTAGAACTCAGGATTAAGAAACTGAGAACTGCACAACTTCATGAAAACTGAACAACCTGTTCCTGAATGTTGACTGGGTAAACAATGAAATGAAGGCAGAAATAAAGATGTTCTTAGAAACCAACAAGAATGAAGACACACCATACCAGAATCTCTGGGACACATTTAAAGCAGTGTCTAGAGGGAAATTTATAGCAATAAATGCCCACATGAGAAGCGAGAAAAGATCTAAAATCAACACCCTATCATCAAAATTGAAAGAACTAGAGGAGCAAGATCAAAAAAACTTAAAAGCTAGCAGAAGACAAGAAATAACTAAGATCAGATCAGAACTGAAGGAGATAGAGACACAAAAAAACATTCAAAAAAATCAATAAATCCAGGAGCTCTGTTTTGTTTTTGAAAAGATCAACAAAATAGACAGCTAGCCAGATGAATAAAAAAAGAAAAAAGAATTAAATAGATACAATAAAAACGATAAAGGGGATATCACCACCGATTCCACAGAAATACAAACTACCATCTGGGATTACTACATACAACTCTATGCACATCAATCAGTAAACCTGGAAGAAATGGCTAAATTCCTGGACACTTGCACTCTTCCAAGCCTGAACCAGGAAGAAGTTGCAGCCCTGAACAGACCAATAACAAGGGCTGAAGTTGAGGCAGGAATTAATAGCCTACCAACCAAAAAAGGTCCAGGTCCAGACGGGTTCACAGCTGAATTCTACCAGACATACAAAGAGGAGCTGGTACCACTCCTTCTGAAACTATTCCAAACAATACAAAGAGAAGGAATCCTTCACAAATCATTTTATGAGACCAACATCATCCTGATACCAAAACCTGGCAGAGACTCAACAAAAAAAGAACACTTCAGACCAGTATCCATGATAAACATAGATGCAAAAATCTTCAATAAAACATTGGGAAACTGACCGTAACAGCAAATCAAAAAGTGTATCTATCACAATCATGTAGGCTTTATCTCAGGGATGCAAGGCTGGTTCAACATACACAAGTCTATAAACGTAATCCACCATATAAACAGAACCAAAGACAAAAACCACATGATTATCTCAATAGATGCAGAGAAGGCCTTCAGCAAAACTCAACAGCCCTTTATGCTAAAAACTCTCAATAAACTAGGCATCAATGTATTGTATCTCAAACTAATAAAAGCTGTTTACGAAAAACCCACAGTCAATATCATAATGAATAGGCAAAACTGGAAGTATTCCCTTTGAAATCTGGCACTAGACAAGGATGCCCTCTCTTACCACTCCTATTCAATGTAGTATTGGAAGTTCTAGACAGAGCAATCAGGCAAGAAAAAGAAATAAAGGGTATACAAGCAGGAGATGAGGAAGTCAGATTGTCTCTATTGGCAGATGACATGATTGTATATTTAGAAGACCCCATCCTCTCAGTCCAAAATCTCCTTAAACTGATAAGCAACTTCAGCAAACTCTCAGGATACAAAATCAATGTGCAGAAATCACAAACATTTCTATACACCAGTAACAGACTAACAGAGAGCCAAATCAAGAGCTAACTCCCATTCACAGTTGCTACAATCTCTTCAAGGAGAACTACAAAGCACTGCTCAACAAAATAAGAGGACACAGATAGATGGCAAAACATTCCATGCTCATGGTTAGAAAGAACCAATATTGTGAAAATGGCCGTACTGCCCAAAGTAATTTATAGATTCAATGCTATCCCCATCAAGGTACCAATGACCTTCTTCACGGAACTGGGAAAAAAACACCTTAAACTTCATATGGAACCAAAAGAGAGCCCACATAGCTAAGACAATCCTAAGCAAAAAGAACAAAACTGGAGGCATCACACTACCTGACTTCAAACTATACTACAAGACTACAGAAATCAAAACAGCATGGTACTGGCACCAAAACAGAGATACAGACCAATGGAACAGAACAGAAGCCTCAGAGGCAATGCCACACATCTACAACCATCTGATCTTTGACAAACCTGACAAAAACAAGAAATGGGGAAAGGATTCCCTGTTTAATAAATGGTGTTGGGAAAACTGGTTAGCCATGTGCAGAAAGCAGAAACTGGACCCCTTCCTGACACCTTACACTAAAATTAACTTGAGATGGTTAAAGGCTTAAACATAAGACCTAACACCATAAAAACACTAGAAGAAAACCTAGGCATAACCATTCAGGACATAGGCCAGGACTTCATGACTAAAACACTAAAAGCATTGGCAACAAAAGCCAAAATAGATAAATGGGACCTAATTAAACTCCAGAGCTTCTGTACAGCAAAAGAATCATTAGAGTGAACTGGTAACTAACAGAATGGGAAAAAAGTTTTGCAATCTACCCATCTGACAAAGGGCTAATATCAAGAATCTACAAAGAACTAAAACAGATTTAGAAGAAAAAAACCAAACAAACCCATTAAAAAGGGGGTGAAGGATATGAACAGACACTTTTCAAAAGAAGACATATATGAGGCCAACAAACATATGAAAAAATGCTCATCATCACTGGTCATTAGAGAAATGCATATCAAAACCATATTGAGAAAACATCTTGTGCCAGTTAGAATGGCGATCATTAAACAATCTGGAGGCAACAGATGCTGAAGAGGAAGTCGAGAAATAAGAACACTTCTACACTGTTGGTGGGAGTGTAAATTAGTTCAACCACTGTGGAAGACAGTGTGGCAATTCCTCAAGGATCCAGAAATAGAAATTCCATTTGACCCAGCAATCCCATTACTGGATATATACCCAAAGGATTATAAATCATTCTATTATAAAGACACATGCACATGTATGTTCACTGTGGCACTGTTTACAATAGCAAAGACCTGGAACCAACCCAAATGCCCATCAATGACAGATGGACAAGGAAAATGTGGCACATATACATCATGGAATACTATGCAGCCATAAAAGAGGATGAGTTTGTGTCCTCTGTCGGGACATGGATGAATCTGGAAACTATCATTCTCAGCAAACTGACACAAGAACAGAAAATGAAATACTGCATGTTCTCACTCATAGGCGGGTATTGAACAATGAGAACACATGGACACAGGGAGGGGAGCATCACACACTGGGGTCTGTTGGGGGCTCTAGGGAAGGGGCAGCGGGGGATGGGAAAGGATATTATGGGGAGAAATGCCAGATATAGGTGACGAGGGGATGTAGACAGCAAACCACCTTGCCATGTATGTACCTATGCAACAACGCTCCATGATCTGCACATGTACCCCAGAACCTAAAGTACAATAAAAAATTAAAAAAAAAAAAACAGGAAAAAATAAGGGAAGAAAAAAACTTATTTACTGTAACATTAAATAACATATTTCTGAGAGAAAAAAGATTAACCAAGGAGATAAAACATATTTACAATATTTAAAAAAATGAAAAAATTAGAGAAAATCCCAATAAATTTTAAAATGTTTTATGTCTATGAATTGAAAGAATATATATTATTAAAGTGCAATATCATCCAAAGTGATCTAGAGATTCAATAAGCTTCCTATCAAAATTCCACTGGTATGTTTTTTTCACAGTAATGGAAAATACAATTCTAAAATTTACATCAAATTAAAATAAGCTTTGAATAACCAAAGCAATCTTGAGAAAAAAGAACAAAGCAGAAAGATGTCACACTTATAATATCAAACTATGTTTCAAGACTATATAGTAATAAAAACACAATGGACTGTGAAAAGAAATGAACAAAAAAATTCAACTGAAGGCGGGGTGCGGTGGCTCATGCCTGTGATTCCAGCGCTTTGGGAGGATGAAGCAGGCAGATCACAAGGTCAAGAAATCGAGATCATCCTGGCCAACATGGTGAAACCCCGTATCTACTAAAAATACAAAAATTAGCTGTGTGTGGTGGCTTGCGCCTGGGTCCCAGCTACTTGGGAGGCTGAGACAAGAGAATTACTTGAATCTGGGAGGCAGTGGTTGTGGGGATCCAAGATCATGCCACTGCACTCCAGCCTGGTGACGGCAAGACTCTGTCTCAAAAAAAGAAGAAAAAATTCAACTGAAACCACCACTGGCACACATTTCAGACCTGATGCAAAAAAAAAGGAAAAAAAATTTAAAAAGGATACGACAGAAGATGTCCCTTTGTGAAAACAAATTTGAAACAAATAAACAAAATAGCTGCCCAGGAACTATTTCCTTGGGAACACAGCTTCCCCAATCACATTTTAAGGACTGGATTTCTCTTTGACCTTGGGACCTCTTATCTGTGTCATCTGTTGTGTTCATTTTTACTCACACCTACCTGGGGGTGTGGCAATCATCTCACGTTTCTTCACAGTCAAAGGTTTTTTTCCTTGCTCCAGACAAGTGATCAGGTCTGGCTTAGAGACAACAATACCTGTTTTATTAAAAATAAATAACATGAATCTTGCTCATATTCTCCAATTACAAGCTAGTAATGAGCTCAGCAGAGAGGATGTGATAAAATAATCTAGTAAGTTAATGTCAAAATGCTGATGGCCGGGCGCGGTGGCTCAAGCCTGTAATCCCAGCACTTTGGGAGGCCGAGGCGGGTGGATCACGAGGTCAAGAGATCGAGACCATCCTGGTCAACATGGTGAAACCCCGTCTCTACTAAAAATACAAAAAAATTAGCTGGGCATGGTGGTGCGTGCCTGTAATCCCAGCGACTCAGGAGGCTGAGGCAGGAGAATTGCCTGAACCCAGGCTGGAGTGCAATGGCACGATCTCGGCTCACCGCAACCTCCGCCTCCTGGGTTCAGGCAA